GCAGATTAATTCAGGCAGGATGCAAATGCATTACAGGAGGATCTAAATAAACTGCAGGTGGTCTGAAATGGCAAATGAAATTCAACACCAGCAAGTGCAGCGTACTTAATATTGGAAGAACAAATACTTATAATGTATACAGCCCGAACAACATCAACTCGAGAAGTCGACGGTGAAGAACCTAGGCACTTTAGGCCCGACCTACGGCCTAGAAACAGTGCGTTAATGTTCGAAATATAAAAACAGAGTATTGGGTTTTATATCTAGAAGTAAAGAGTGCAGAGGTCTTATTGCAACTATATCTTTGCGCGAGTTAGGCCGCACCTCGATTATACGGTTCAGTTCTGGTGCCCCATTATAGAATGGATATAAATTCACCAGAGTCGGTGCAGCGAAGAATGACAAAAACATTCAGGGACTTAGAAACCTTCCATATCAGGATAGGTTAAAGAAACTTAACTTGCATTCCCAGAAAGACGAAGAGTGCGGGGAGATATGATAGAAGTATTTAAGTGGGTGAAAGGAATCAATAAAGGGATATAGATAAAGTTTTATAATATCCGAGCAGGATAGGACTCGGAGCAACGGATTCAAGTTGGATAAGTTTAGGTTTAGGAGGAGGAAGAAACTGGTTCACAAATAGGGTGGTGGACGAGGGAAAAGCTTTAGCAACTTTGTAGTAAGTGCGGAAACCCCTGAAAGTTTCAAAAGGAGGCTAGATAGATTCATGGATGATAGAGAATTCATTTAATATTGGAAGAACAAATACTTATAATGTATACAGCCTGAAATAAATATCAACCTCAGAGAAGTCGATCTTCCTGAAAGAGACCTAGGGGTACTTGTAAGCCCGGACCTACGGCCTAGAAAACAGTAAGTGTTAATGTTCGAAATAAGGCAAACAGAGTATTAGGTTTATATCTAGAAGTGGCAACAAGAGTGCAGAGGTTCATTGCAACTATATTCAGGCTAGTTAGGCCGCACCTCGATTATGCGGTTCAGTTCTGGTGCCCTTATTATAGAATGGATATAAATTACCAGAGTCGGTGCAGCGAAGAATGACATAAATGATTCTGGGACGAGAAACCTTCATATCAGGATAGGCTAAAGAAACTTAACTTGCATTTTTAGACAGACGAAGAGTGCGGGGGAGAGGCGGAGAAGTATTTAAGTGGGTGAAAAGGAATCATCAAAGGGGATATAGATAAAATTTATAATATCCGAGCAGGATAGACCCGGAGCAACGGATTTATTTTAGTGTCGTCAACATTTTGACGCACTACCTGGGTCCGGGAAAAACTGATCGTAATTGTTTCTTTAGGGTTTCTTTAGGATTTTTTTAGGGTTTTAAATTAGTAGAAAAATAAAGTAGCAAGATATGATCAAGGAGACTGATGGAATAGAGATGACCCATTCAATTGTTAAGAAGTTAGGTCTGTATATTTAATTCCTCGTAGTTATATCATGAATTTAAACAAAAACACAGAAGAACAGGAATAATTTGGTAGTTGGCACACACACACTCATACTAGTTGATAAATATTTCCATGTATTAAAATAACACTGACCCTCCATCACCCAGGGATTTCAACTCGAAACTATTTTACTTATTTGAGCAGAGAATTACTTTCTTCCTCTAAAATTACCCTGAAAGCTCTGCTTAACCCCAGGCACGAATCAAATGTTAAAATTACAATTGGTCTCGGAAGGCAGGTATCGGTCTCGGTCCCCGACTTGATAGTCTGGACCAGGTCATTAATACACGTAAAGCACTACGAAACAGCCACAATCTCTGCAGCAGTAAGTGTTAGATGACTAATAACCGTATAAAAATACGTCCATGTTGTTTTAAATTAAGATCTTGATTACAGAATTTTTGTTGGTGTATGAAAGATAGTGTGTGTGTGTGTGTGTGTGTGTGTGTGTATGTGTGTGTGTGAAAGAGAGAGAGAGAGAGAGAGAGAGAGGTGCTTGTATGCTTGTATGTCTGTATGGGTATTTATGATATTATTTAGAGCAGTGGTTCTCAACCTTGTTTGCCCCATGCACCCCTTTCACCATATGTCAGAATGTCATTCCCCCCTCCTTTCCAAGATTGTCTGCCTCAAAAAGTGCATTCCAAATAATATGCATATAATACTGAAAATCCTTTATTTTTTCCATATTAGTATCAGTTTCCCCCCCCCCCCCTGAAAACCTGAGGGGGGGGAAATTCCCCCCTGGTTGAGAACCCCTGATTTAGAGCATTTAGAGCATTTAGAGAATTCGGCTTATTTTTTATTTATTTTTATAAATGTTTGTGTTTGGTTGTATGCATGTGGTCTATACCTGCTGGCGTCCACCAAATAAATTATATGTGTGTGCAGGCATATATACTCCTTTATATACAGACACGTGAAATAGTCTCCCCAAAATTTCCGAAACAACCAAGATTTTTAGCAATTGCTCTTTTAATATATTTCATTTTCTATATTTTGTTCTACATCCCTTGAACAGTGAACACAACAAAAGGCTCTTTGTAACTACTAAACAAAAGACGATCACGTTGGGTAAATAATATTTTTTTGCAACTATGAATTTATGGCCGGGAGTCATACTGGTATTAGAAAAATGATATAGTGCAATGATAAGAGAATGTTTTTTCGAAGGTATATTTAGTGTTCTCTGTTTTGTATTGTGTGTGTGTGTGTGTGTGTGTGTGTGTGTGTGTGTGTGTGTGTGTGTGTGTGTGTGTGTGTGAGTGTGCGTGCGTGTGTGTGTGTGTGCGTGTGTGTTGGGACTGGGCTGTTCTTATAGAGATCAGCTTGTGCTCAATGGGCTGGATGTGTGTGTGTGTGTGTGTGTGTGTGATACACGTGATATTCCATTTAGTAGAAATAGTTATATAATTTATACAGTACCCAACAACACCCACTTATACCTACCAACACACACCTAACAGCTTCTCAGGTGGGGAAACAGTGAGCGACTTGTGTATATTGTGCACGTTAGCTATACAGTACAAACATTAAAACGCCTACTAGCCCCTTCCAGCACCCACTAACACCTCTTAGCACCTTCCAGCACCCACTAACACCTCTTAGCACCTTCCAGAACCCACTAACACCAATTAGCACCTTCCAGCACCCACTAACACCTCTTAGCACCTTCCAGCTAACACCACTAGCACCTTCCTTAGCACCTTCCAACCCACTAACACCAATTAGCACCTTCCAGCACCCACTAACACCAATTAGCACCTTCTTAGCACCTTCCAGCACCAGCACAGAACACACTCTTAGCACCTTCCAGCACCCACTACACCCCTTAGCACCTTTCAGAACCCACTAACACCAATTAGCACCTTCCAACACAGCTAGCACATATTAGCATCTTCCAGCACCCACTAACAACTATTAGCACCTTCCAGCATCCAATAACACCTTCTAGCACCTTTCAGCACCCATTAACACCTATTAGCACCTTCCGGGACCCCCTAACACCTCTTAGCACCATCCAGTACCCACTAACACCTGTTAGTTCTTTCCAGCACCCACTAACACCTATTAGCACCTTCCAGCACCCACTAACACCTCTTAGAACCTTTCAACACCTTTCAGAACCACTAACACCTATTAGCACCTTCCAGCACCTCATCTTTCAGCACCCATTGACACCTATTAGCACCTTTCAGCACCCATAACACCTATTAGCATTCCAGCAGCACCCACTAACACCTCTAGCACCTTTCAGCACCTACTAACGTCTTTTAACACCTTCCAGCACCCTAACACCTATTAGCATCTTACACCTATTAGCATCTTCCAGCCACCCACTAACACCTCTTAGCACCTTTCAGCACCCACTAACGCCTTTAACACCTTCCAGCACCCCCTAACACCTATTAGCATCTTCCAGCCACCCACTAACACCTCTTAGCACCTTTCAGCACCCACTAACGCCTCTTAACACCTTCCAGCACCCCCTAACACCTATTAGCATCTTCCAGCCACCCACTAACACCTCTTAGCACCTTTCAGCACCCACTAATACCTATTAGCACCTTCCAGCACCCATTAACACCTATTAGCACCTTCCAGCACCCACTATCACCTATTAACGCCTTCCAGCCCCTACTAAAACCTCTTAGCACCTTGCAGCACCCACTAACGCCTCTTAACACCTTCCAGCACCCCCTAACACCTATTAGCATCTTCCAGCACCCAATAACATCTATTAGCTCTTGCCAGCACCCACTAACACCTATTAGCACCATCCAGCACCCACTAACATCAATTAGCATCTTCCAGCACCCACTAACATCTATTAGCACCTTCCGCACCCACTATCACCTGTTAGCACCTTTCAGCACCCACTAACACCTCTTAGCACCTTCCAGCACCCACTAACACCTCTTAGCACCTTCCAGCACCCACTAACACCTATTAGCACCTTCCAGCACCCACTAACACCTATTAGCACCTTCCAGCACCCAATAACACCTCTTAGAACCTTTCAGCACCCACTAACACCTATTAACACCTTCCAGCACCCACTAACACCTATTAGCACCTTTCTAGCACCCACTAGCACCTATTAGCACCTTCCAGCACCCACTAACGCCTAGCACATTCCAGCACCTCTTAGCACCTTCCAGCACCCACTAACACCTGTTAGCTCTTTCCAGCACCCACTAACACCTCTTAGAACCTTCCGGCACCCACTAACAACTAACACCTATTAGCACCTTCCTGCACCCACTCACACCTATTAGCACATTCCAGCACCTCTTAGCACCTTCCAGCACCCACTAACACCTGTTAGCTCTTTCCAGCACCCACTAACACTTATTAGCACCTTCCAGCACCCACTAACACCTCCTAGCACATTCCAGCACCTCTGAACACCTCTCAGCACCCACTAACACCTATTAGCACCTTCCTGAACCCACTAACACCTATTAACACTTCTCAACATCCACTAACACAAATTAGTACCTTCCAGCACCTATCAACACCCACCTGAAAAACTCCTTAGCTGGGGAAGTAGTAAGGGACTTGTCAGTAGCGTTGTGGACGTTAGCTGTGAGGGTGCAGTTGGCAGTGTTCCACGTGTTGTTACAGGAGGTCCAGGGCAGCTCATTCCCGAAGGAGGCCACCAAGTAGTACACACTCCAGGCCAGGATGGTGTTGTAGTACATGGCCATATAGAGGTCGATGATGCAGATGGCATACCCAATACCTGAGGGAGGAAGAGGTATGGTGAGGTTGGGTATGGTGTGGTGAAGTTCGGTCAGAGGAGGTGAGGTGTGGTGTAGTGTTGCGATGTGAGGTGTGGTGTGATTATGATGCAGTGAAGTGTGGTCAGGGAAGGTGTGATGAGATGTGGTGCAGTGTTTTGACATGAGGCATGGTGTTGTATGGTGTGGTGAGTTATGGTTAGGTAATATTGATTTGTTTTAACTTTTGCCACGTTCAGTGGTTAGAGCCAATGGATTACAGAGTAGAGGTGACACAGGGTGTGTATAACAGTCCCCAGTGGTCAGGATATTATGTCATCGAATGTTACAGAGTATTCAAATACATTGCGTGTTTAGTTCTGTACATAGAGGTTGACTTATTCACAACTGAGTGAGTATGACAGTGTGAGGCAATATGTCTAGCCGCCCACATTCTTATTCCCATTTGCGTGAGAGGTATACGACGACATTGTGTGGTTGGTTCTATACATGGGAAATAGTATAGCTACTGAGCGCAAAAAAGTGGATCAATCTTAATATGTCGAGAATCTTACCATTAGATATGAAGTGTTGTGCAATTTCACACACAGTGTGGCTTGGACATGTCCCTGAAAGGTTCTATCTTCACACAGTCGTAAAAAGAAAGTAAAAATAGAAGAGGAAAATACTAAATTAATCTACACCACGAAGATGCCGGAAAACCAGCTTTTTGAAGTGAGACAAGTTGTATGGAAACACAGAAGAAGGCAAAGTATTCCACAGTTTGGCTGTTTGAGGAAAGGAGGTACTATAACAGGTTATTCTAGTGTGACCGACATCCACAGAGAAACGGTAGACACCGCGGGCAAGACGTGTGTTACGAGCCCTCGGTCTTGCCGGCGGTACACAGGATGCCAAATCTACCGAACATTCCGAACATTTCCCATTAAAGTATCTGTAAAAGAGAGAGTGAAGCAACATTGCGGCGAAGAAAAAAGGAAGAGAAATTATCAACTAAAGGAGGAGAGTTAATAAGACAAAATAACTTTGATTCCTATCTAAAAGTTGGACAGAAGAAGAGCTACCCCAGACATGAGAGCAGTACTCCAAGTTAGGACGAATGAATCCTATAATAACTTGAAGCAACTGCTCAGGAGTGAAGTAGCTACGGCATATTTAGAGCATTCCCAGCTTTCGGAAGGCAGCTTCAGCAATGCTGTGGATGTGTGGCTCCCATGACAATTTAAAGGATATGGTGAGGCCAAGCATATCTATTTTAGAATATAGCAAAATGATTGCGTCCTGAAATGTTACTGGTAGGAGATCTTCTATTTTGGAAAGTGAAATTGGTAAATACTGTGTTTTATTACTATTAAATTTAACCAGGTTTCTACCTCCCCATACAGAGATGGTGCACAGATCCTCATTGATAGATGAAATTAGATCAGCTCTAGAAACAGATCTAGTTTGAGAAATGAAGGGAAGGGAAAAATGTGAAGAGTGAAGAGTAGAATCATCAGCGTAAGAATGGATAGAATTCGTCGTAGTGTGAAGTAATTCATTGATAAAAAGAAGGAAGAGAGTAAGTGAAAGAACTGAACCCTGTGGGACACCACTATTGGTAGAGAAAGAGCGAGAGATCGATCCCTCGACACCGCTGCCGTGGATCAGTTCTCAAGCAAGAAATCTGAGAACAAGGTGGGGGAGAGAAACCATAAGAGGGAAGTTGGGGATGTTGAGGGCCACGACGAAAGTTCCCCATATCCCTAAGAGAGGATGACTAAAGATGGATGCAGTAGGAGAGCAGATCACTAGTAGACCTCGCCTGGCGGAAACCATACTGGTGATCCGACAAAAGAGACAAGCGTTCAAGGTGACGGGGAAAATGAGAGTTTAAGATAGTTTCGAAAATCTTAGAGATGGATGAAGTTCGGTCAGTGGAGCGATAGTTAGAGGGATTTGAATGGTCACCCTTCTACGGGATGGGCTGAACCAAGGCATGCTTCCAAGAAGAAGGAAAAGTTTGGGTTTTGAGGCAAAGGTGAAAGAGGCGAGCAAGCACAGGGGCCAGAATTTCAACACACTCCCTCAGAACACGAGGGGGTATTCCGTCCGGTCCATGAGCCTTACTCACATCCAACCTGGATAACATGCCAGCAACCTTACGGGTGGAGATTATAGGAAAGTGCATAGGTTCAGTAAGAGGAGCAGGAGTGGGAGAGATAGAGTTGGAGTCGGCTACGGTGGAGTTAGGGGAGAATAAGGTGCCATAGAAATTGGCTTTATCAGGGGGAGAGTTGGCTATAGAGTTATCAGGTCGGAAGAGAGGAGAACACGAGGGAGTGCAGAGGTAATTACAGGTGTTTTTGGTTAAGGACCAGAAGGATTTACTAGAAGAAGAGTTAGTCAGGTCAGCGTTATATATTTTGATAAAATTCCGCTTGTGACCTACTAAGAATAGCGTTACAACGATTCCAAAAAGTAAGGAAAGAGGAGTGGATAACAGGAGTAGGAGATAGTTTTATAATTTGATATGCCTTATCTCTCTTCCTACATGCAAGAGAACGGGAGCGAAAGTTTTGGTAGAATATGGGATAAATGCACTCATACCACCCTGTATAACCCCAACTGCTTTTCTATTAATCTCTGTATCTATTTCATCTATCTTGTCTCTGTCTTTCTTATCTGTCTGTCTTTGTGTATTTCTTTTTTTAATTTGCTCATCAGTTTATCTCTCCAACCACCTCTGTCAGTTGATCTGAGTCTGTCTATCTTTACGCCTTCCAGCATAAGAACAAAAGAACATAAGAATGAAGGAAACTACAGCGAGCCTATTGACCCATACTAGGCAGTCCTGTTTACACCCAACCCCTATCGCTCATATATCCATCCAACCTATATTTGAAGCTATCCAGCGTATTCGAGTTAGTGATGATGTTTGGTAACTTGTTCCATTCATCCAGTACTCCATTTCCAAACCCGTGTTAACCTATCTCGTGTCAAAATCTAAATTTGTCTAATTCAAACCATTGTTATGAGTTCTCTCCTGGTTATATAGTTTAAGTACCTTTGTTATATCACATTTATTTAACTCTGACTTCCATTTATACACCTCAATCATATCGCCCCTCACTCTACGTCTCTCGAGGGAGTGCACATTCAGATGCCTTAATCTGTCTCTACACTCAAGGTTCCTCATGCCCAGAACTGGTCTTGTCATCCTCCCCTGTATGCTTTCTAGGGATTCGATATCCATTTTGTAGTACGGTGACCAAAACTGAACTGCATAATGGACAAATGTAAAGTACTCAATATAGGAGATGTAAACAGGGAAACCAGATACCAGATGAACAACGATGCCATAGAGAAATCCGACTGCGAGAGAGATTTAGGAGTAATGATAAGTAGGAACCTTAAGCCAAGTAAACAATATGTTTTTGCTCGTAACAAGGCTAATAAAGTACTTGGGTTCATACAAAGGAGTGTTAGTTACAGGACTAGCGAGGTCATCCTAAACTGTATCTTGCGCTTGTGAGACCACACCTGGATTTCGCAGTTCAGTTCTGGTCACCGTATCACAGAATGGATATAGAATCATTGGAAAGAATTCAGAGGAGAATGACAAGACTAATCCCGGGCATTAGGAACCTTGAGTATAGAGACAGGTTAAAGCATCTTAATTTGCACTCCCTCGAGAGACGTAGAGCGAGGGGCGACCTGATAGAGGTGTATAAGTGGAAGTCAGGGCTAAACAAAGGGGACATTACAAAGGTACTCAAACTATCCAACCAGGAGCGAACTCGTAACAATGGTTTTAAATTAGACAAATTTAGATTTAGGCGTGAAATAGGTAAACCCTGGTTCGGAAACAGAGTAGTGGATGAATGGAACAAGTTACCAAATATCATCATTAACTCGACTACGCTGAATAGCTTCAAACATAGGTTGGATGCTTATATGAGCAATAGGGGTTGGGTGTAAACGGGACTGCCCAGTATGGGCCAATTGGCCCGCTGCAGTTTCCTCCATTCTTATGTTCTTATGTTCTAAGGATAACCTCGCTAGTCTTGTAACTAACACTCCTTTGTATGAACCCAAGTACTTTGTTCGCTTTGTTTCAGCAAATATGTGTTTTTGTCTTGGTTTAAAATTCCTACTTATAATTTCTCAACGTTGTTAATCTGATATTTTGTTTTTTCTGTTTACATGTAGTAGGCAGCTACCAAAGAGGGAGGTACTACCGCCTGGGAAGATATTGGAAGCATAATGTGTTGTTTAATGGTAGACCCTGCTGCCGTATGGCATCACGAAAATTGTGACCAAGTCCCAGGTTGCTGATCTGACTTTCTGCCTCATTTATACACAATTGCAGGGTCTCAATTGTTTCTCTTACTATTGACAACTCAACATATATATATATATATATTGTTTCTCACTTTTGATTTTTTTTGGTATTTATTTTTATTATTATTATTATTATTATTATTATTATTATTATTATTATTATTATTATTATTATTATTGTTTTTATTGTTATTATTATTATTATTATTAGTGTTGTTATTATTATAAGTAGTAGTACTTTATTATTATATTTTCAATTTTTTATTTTTTATTAAAAAAATTTTATACTATGAATTATTACTATTTTTTTTTTACTATGAATTATTACTATTATTATTACTACTACTACTATTACATTTTCGCCCCCCAAGCCCCGATGTGGGTCGGTGACCTGTGCCCGGGTGGGCTAATACCCGTAAAAAACAAAAACAAAATCCTAGGTTAAGCACTTTACATTATGTCTGTCTTTCTATACGTCCGCCTGCTGATCTATATGTCTATCTGTCTGATTGTTTGTCAATATTTATGCCTGCCAGCTTATCTGTCTGTCTACCTATCTGTCTTTACGTCTCGGCAAATCTGTTTATTCTTGCGTCTCTCTGGCTATCTATCTGTTTTTTCGTCTCTCAGCATATTTGTTTATTCTTGCGTCACTCTATCTTTATCTCTTTCTCCGTGT